ACCTGCATCAGCCGGGGATGGGGACTGGTGGGAGCAGCTCGGAGCGGCTCCTGGCAGGATCCCGGGAGTGGGAGGAGGACAGGATTCCTTCCGGTCAGTCCTGTTCTCTTCCCAGGGAGCCTCCCTCCTTATCCTGCTGCTCGGAGGATGTTTACCAGCACACCTGGAGAGGTGTATGTAGGTCAGGGCTCTGCGCCTCCTTGGATTGCCAGAAAAAGCCAAACTCTGCGTTTAACATCCCCAAAATGTGGGGTTTTTCCCCCTCTCTACAGCCCAAGGGGTTTGTGAGCTCGTGGGCAAAGTTTGGAAAATGTCACAGAGCAGAGAAATTCCCGCGGGAACAAAAGAAAGGGGTTTAATCTTATTCTTAGGCTGTCCCAAATGTCACTGAGCTGCCTCTGGGCCCAGACTGGACCCAGCTTGGGCCAGCTCAGGCCAGGGCAGCAGAGCCGGGGTCAGGAGCCCTGAGCTGGCAGGGTGGGGACACCCGGGGACACCGAGGGGTCTCCCATGGGAGAGTCACTCCTTGCTCATCCCATGGCCGGGTCCAGGATCTGATCCAGCCCCAGGACTCCCCAGGTCGAGGATTTGGGGATATTTGAAAGCGGGTGCGTGGCCTCACAAAAACTGCGGGGCCTGATTCCGGCACAGAAATCCGATTTATTTCCGAGAGGAGCAGGGGGAATCCGAGGTCGGGGTGGTCGCAGCGTCCTTGGGGACGCGGCCAGGACCTGGTGGCCTCTCGGAGTGTCGCCGCTCCGCGATGTCGCGTCCCACCAGGTGGCAGCAGGAGCCCGGGGCTCCCAATCCCGCAATCCTGGAAAAGGACGGCTGGGGGTGAAAGCGTCCCGATGTGGATTTGGGGCTTGGGGAGGGGTCGCTCTCTGTCCCCTCCTGCCCAGCAGCCCCGGGGTGACACAACAGGAGCCCCCCCAGCGCCGGCTGCAGCTCCAGGGTTGACAAATATCCGGTTACAGCAACAGGCGGAGCCGGCTCCTGCCTCCATCCCGGGGGGGGTTGTGCGGGGACAGAGGGGCTGAGCCCCCCGAAAGTCCTGATCTGCTGAAAATCCCTGTCCCCAAGGCTGTTCCCGAGCTCTCTCCGCTCCCCGGGGATGTGAGGGCTCCCCCCGGGACCCCAGAGACCCCAAAGCGCTGCGGGATGTGGCTCCTGCCCCGTTTTGGGGCTCCTGCCCCGTTTTGGGGTGCGGAGCTGAGGGGACGCTGCTCCTTTGGCCTGGCCGGGAGGAATTTGACATTTTGGGGTGCCAAAAGGGGCTCCGGAGGAAGCTGAAGCAAGCTGGGGGTGAAGCAAAGTTGTGTGAGCTGGGCAGGGGGGTTGGGGTCTTGCTTCAGCTCTGCTGCTTTGGGGAAGTTTCTGGAAGGTTCCTTCCCGGAGCTGGGCGATTTCAGGGCTTTGAGTCAGCCTTGGGAAATCACCACTGAGCTGCTTTTCCTGCCCCAAAAGGGGTTTGGAAATCAGGAGCCCGGGAAGCTGCTCAGCGGCTCCATCCATGTTTCCCTCTGGAAAGCAGCTGATGTTTTTAACAAATGAACATTTTTATAATTTTTTTGGTGCAGATTTGGGGGGTTCTGAGTGAGGAATTGGGTTTTTTTCCCGTTCTTGTCCAGGCCGAGAGCAGCTGCCCAAAACTTAACGTGTCCATCCCCCACCTGTGGAGCTAAAATGCCCAAAAAAGGGTTTTCCTCCAGGAAATAGTGCTCATCCCTCCCCATCCTCCCTCCCAGCTCCTCCCCACCACCACAGCTCAGGCTTGGGACACCTGTGGAGAGTTTCCAGGCCAAAATATGGGTTTGGGTTTTTTTTTTCCAAGTGGAAATGCAAAAATCCATCAAACCCTGGTGCAATCCCGATCTCTGAGTGCCGAATCCCAAATTCCCAAGCATCCTCCCCAGCCCTGGGAACCCGCAGCCTGTCCCAAAGGTGGATTCGCCCTCTTCGAGGAGAGAAAAGCCCCGGAAAACCCAGAGGGACACAGGAGAGCTTCGGCAGCCTCGGGGTAAATCTTTATTCGGCAGCAAAACCGCGGCGCGGGGAGGGAGGGAAGGAGGGAGGCGGGCAGGGAGCGGCGGCTCCAGGCGGGATTGGGCTTGGGAGCCTTTTCCAAGCGGGAAGATCCCTCGGAGGGCAGGGAAGGAGCCTCAGTGGTGGTGCTGGTGGTGGTGGTGGTGCTGGTGCTGCTGGTCCTCCACCTCGTGCAGGTGCTCGTGGGTGGCGCAGGTGACGCGGGTGACCAGCAGCATCATCTCGCCGAAGCTGATCTGGGCGTCCTTGTTGACGTCCAGGTCCTTCATGATCTGGTCGATGGTGGCCTTGTTCTTCACGTGCTGCCAAGGAGGAGGAGGAGGGTGAGGAGGGCAAAACCCCCTCGTTTGCAACTCAAAATCTCAAAACTCCCCCTGGCTGGGAAAATCTTTCCTTTGGCTTTAAGTGAGTTCCAAAAATTAAAAAAAAAAAAAAAAAAGGGATTTGGGGGGGGTGAAAAGGAGATTTTGGGCTGATTTTTTGTGGAGAAGGGGATGAGGGGCTGCAGGTTCACCCAGAGCTGTGAGGGTTCCTTCACGGAGAATGTTTGGGACGGGGTGGTTGGGCAGGAGAGCGGAGTGGGGAGGGGGTGAATCCCAACCCCGGGGACACCCAGGCCCTGGGGCCCCCTCACCTTGAGGTAATTCGCCAGCTGCTTCTCAATCATCAGCTTGAGCTCGTTCTTGCTCAGGGTGTCCCTGTCCCCCTCCCGCCGGGAGTACTGGTGGAAGACGTCGATGATGACGTCCATGGCCTTCTCCAGCTCCGACAGCGGCTCCTGGCTCTGCTGGCCCTGGGGGAGAAACGAAATGTCCGGGAAAGCCTGGGATAACCCGCCGGGATCGGGATCGGGATCGGGATCGGGATCGGGATCGGGGTCGGGATCGGGATCAGGACACAGCCGGGCTGGGCTCAGCTGTCCCTCGGCTGGGGATGAGCAGGAGCTGTTGGAGTTTCCTCCAAGGAGCCTCAGGAAGGACCCCGCAGCCTCTGCCCTGTGCACCCACAAACGAGAGCTGAGGTTTGTCCCCAAAACCCCAAAATTGTCTAAGCCTGGCTCTGCTGATAAACCAACCCGAGCAGCTGATAACACCCCAAAAAATCTCTGTGGGGACACAGAGCAGGTGACAACACCCCAAAACCCTCAGTGGGGACACAGAGCAAGTGACAACACCCCAAAACCCTCAGTGGGGACACAGCCCAGACATCCAGGAGCCTCTTTGGTGGTCAGGAACCTCTCCCAGGAGAAACCCTCTCTCCTCACGGCCCCGTGGAGATGGTTTCGCTCAGCCGGGACCCGGCGCTGGGATGAAGAGAAGCTCCCCGAGGATCCCAGGACCTGGAAAAGAGCACGGACACCTTCAGCTCCCCCCGGACTTGCCTTGCTCATCGTGTCACGGCGGTGAGGTCCCCCTGGGGCCGGTGTCACGGCGGGGTCTCTTATAGCCCGGCCCGTTGTGAAATGTCCCCGTTTCAGCCCCGCTCCCGCCCGGCCCCGCAGCGCCCCGGGGTTGCTCAAGGCTCCGGGGCAGTTCCCCTAAAAGGGGCTCTGTGGCTTTTCCCCCAAGGTCGGGGTGGCCCGGGCTCGGGTGGGGGCGGCCCTGTCCCCTCACCTGCTGAGATTCTCCACCAGCTCCTGGCAAAATCCCAAACCCCTTTCCCTTGGGATTCTTCCACAATTTCCCTCCTTTTGTGGTTTGTGGTGCCACGGCTCCGTCCCTGCCCTGCTCCAAGCAGCTCGTTCCCAAAGTTCATCCCGGCATCCCGCGGCTTCCCAGCGCCCCTCAGCGTGGAAAAAACCTCCAAACCCAGCGGCTCCAACCTCCCCGGAGCCGAGCTCCGAGCGCTGCTGGCTGTGTGACAGCGGTGTCACCTGCAGCCACCCCGGGAAAGGTGAGCCGGGCGTGTTCCCAGCCTGGCAGAGCTCCAGGAGTTCCATTTCCCCCCTGGCTCCTCCCCAGCCCAGGCGTGCCCTGAGCTGCAGAGCCCAGGTCTGGCTCAAAGACGCATTTTATCTCATTTTTATTTTTATTTACTTTCCCCCTTCCCCACTTTTCCAGGGCTCGGTCCTCACCTCGTGGATTTTTTGTGTTGTTGGCCTGGCAGCTCAGAGCTGCCGAGTTTGGGAGCAAAACGAGATTTTCCGCCGTTTCCTCATTAAAATGAGCTGCCTGCTGGCTCAGCTCGCTCCTCTGGGGTTTGTTCAAGCCTCGGGCTGCTCTCGGACACGAAGTGGGGACCAAAACAAAGCCCCAGACGGGCCTGGGGCGAGTCCAGGAGCTCCAGAGCATGGAAGGAGCCGCAGCCCTGGGCTTCCAGAGGGAATTTCCTCCTGGAAAGGGCGCTCAGGGCAGGGAGGTTTGGACTCCCCGTCCCTGGAGGTGTCCAGGGAAGGGCTGGACGTCGCTCTGAGTGACCAGCTGGGGACAAGGGGCAGGTTGGGCTCCATCCTGGGAGTCTTTCCCAGTGAAATCACCCCGGGGAGCCGTGATTCCGCCCCCCGGCCCCCCAGCCCTGGCCGGTGGGGCGCTCTGCTTTCACAACGGGGGGGTTCTGCTGCTCACAACATCTGGGGACAATCGGGGGACGTTTCACAACGCAGGGCCGGCGTTGCAGCCTTTGGGTGCAATCTCAGGAAACCTCCTTGGGTCACTCTGATCACCCCGGGGGTGGCAGGGGGACAAAGGTGGGGCACGGGGGGTGGCACGGGGGGGGGGTCCCTGAGCCAGGGCTGAGCCCCCAGGCTGTGGGTGGTCAGTGCTGGCACCGCTGTGGTGGCTCTGCGGGGACAAGGGGCAGTGCTGGGGGTCACAGGGACAGGCGCTGGTGACTCTGGTGGCCCTGCAGGTGTCCTTGCAGGGGAACAGCAGCTTTGTCACGCCGGGGTGACCCCGCAGGCGCTGCCCCTCCCGCCCCCCCGGGACGGGTGAGGAGACGGGAAATACTCGGAGAACTTCAAGCGATGCTTTATTGTGCCGTGAGCGGGGCTGTCCCGAGCAGGCTGGGAGCAGCCAGAGCCCAATTCCCAAATTCCCAAAGCTTCCCTCTGCCCGGTTTCCGTGCCCAGGCTCAGTCCCGGTCGGGCCCGCAGCGCTCGGAGCCGTGGCTGATGCGGTGGGCGTCGTCGGCCACCTTGCTCAGCACGACGGTGAACTCCTCGAAGCTCAGCTCCTTGTCCTTGTTCAGGTCGGTCTCTTGGAAAAGCTTCTCCAAGTAGCCAGCCTGGTTCCTGTTCTGCGATTGGGGACAGGACAGGGGGTCACGTCCCTCCCCGGGGGGAGCCTTCAGCTCCTTCCCTGCCCTGGGAAGGGTTTGGGAGCTGCAGGATGTCCTGACCCTCCCCTGCCTTGCCCTTAGCCCCAGGTGGAACCCCAGGGAGGACAAGGTTTTGTCCCAAACCCCAGAGGGGACAAGGTTTTGTCCCAAACCCCATTGAGGACAGGGTTTTGTCCCAAACTCCAGAGGGAACAGGGTTTTGTCCCAAACCCCATTTGGGGACAGGTTTTTGTCCCAAACCCGGCGGCAGGAGGAAGAGGAGGGCTGAGCCCCAGCTGGGGGTCTCCAGGAGCCCCCAGCCCTGCTCCCCATCCCGGCAGGATCGTCCCCCCAGCACTCACGCAGCTCCCCAGGAAGGACGGCGCCTGCTCCGTCAGCAGCGTCCTGAAGTCGCTGAGGCTGAGCAGGTCGATCTCGCCCTGGCGGATGCTGTACTGGTGGAAAACGTCCACCAGGGTCTGCAGGGCCTTCTCCAAGGTGCAATTCCCGGGGAACTGCCGGCTCCCGGCGTGGCTGTGGCTGCTGGAGGACATGGCTGAGCTCTGGAGGTACCTGCAGGACAAACCTCGGAGCCGTGAGAGGAGACAAAAACCAGCGGCAGCTGCGCCTGGAGCCTCGTCCTGCTGGGGCTGAGCCCGGGGCACCTTCAGCTCCCTGGTGCGGAGCAGAAAATGAGGGGATTTGGGGAAATTGCTGGGATCCGGCTCCAGTTTGGCTTTTCCAGGGAAGCAGCTCATTCCCACACTCCTGGGGACGCTTTTCAGGTGAGGGCAGCAGGGTCAGGCCACCAGGGGTTCAGGGCAGAGGCCGCAGAATTAGCGATGCCTCCACCAAGGATGGCACCAAAACGCCGGGAATTCATTTTCCAACCCAAACCGGCCTCCTGCTCTACCCCGAGGAGAATCCATCGCCCTGGGCTGAGGCCGCGTCCCAAACCGCATCTCCCTCATCGCTCTCCCTTCCAGGACCATCCTCGTCCCACTCACCCTGGTCTCCGAGGAGGCTTTGCAGGGGATGGATCTGTTGGTGTGACCCAGGAGCCTGGACCGGCCTTTTTATACCTGTCTGAGGTCCTCTTTCATCAGAGCTGGTGACACACCTGCCACAAGCATCGGCTTGAGCTCCCGTTTCCCGCACCTGGAAATTGCCAGGTGGGAGCCCCTCAGCCCCTCCCGGCCTCATTCCTCCGCTCAGCAGTTCCTGGTTGCACCCACCGGGCTTTGGAAATGTTCTCCTTGCCCCCTCCACCACCTCTGACAGGGCTCAGGGAGGGGAAAAACCCCGGCTTTGTCACACCTCGACGGCGAGGGCAAGGCCGTTCGAGAAGTTGCCAAAACTTGGGGTGTTTTGCAACGCCACGAGAAATTTGCACATTTTCCTTCTGCTGCAGGAGCAAATGGGGTTGTTTCGCCTGGAAACAGGGATGGCTTTGTCCCCTGGACGGGTTTTTAATGTGATTTCTGTTTTCTACCAGCCCAGCTGGCTGGACACCGCCCAAGACAACGCAGCAGTATTTTATAACTTGTTTTCCAGAATATTTTCCATTGTTTTCTGTTTGTACCAGACCTCTGCTCACGCTCCAGAGGTTTTTCTGGAGGAAACCGGGCAAAAAACCAGAAGAAAACCCAAATCAGGGTCTTCTCTGGCCGGTGCAGGAACTGCAGCGTGTTTTGCAATTGTCACCTCCGTGTCACGCGTGTTAGGGACAAGAAGGGGCAGACAATGGGGAGATTTAAAATCCGACAATGGGTGGGAGGAAGGCGGAAGGACCAGCCCAGCCCGGGGTGCCCATCCCTGTTTGGAGATGTTCCTGTGTCCCCAGGGCATTGCAGGGATTTGATTCCGGTATCCCTGACTCATTTCACTGCTCCTCTTGTTTCCCGCTCCTTTCGGAGTGTCCCCCACCCCAAACCGGAGTGTCACCCACCCCAAACCGGAGTGTCACCCACCCCAAACCGGAGTGTCACCCACCCCAATCCGCATCCTGGTTCCCCAGCTGGCAGGGAAAGCGGCTGACGCTCTGCTGCAGCTCCCACACGCTGCCCCTTTCCCAACTTTCCCAGTTTTTCCCTAAAACCCGAGGGGGAGGCAGCTGGGGATGCCCAGCCCACCCCAACCCCGCTGGTTTCACCCGGGACAGGCTCCTGGAGCTGTGGGTGTCCCCTCAGTGTCCCCTCACTGACGGATCCAGGAGCTCTTTTCCACTCCCGTTTCTGTCCCCAGGAGCCCACGGTGACTTTTAGGTGTGTGGTGACCTCGGGGACGTGTCCCCAACCATGAAATGTTTGACTCCTTCTGCGGAGCGGCCGCTCCTCTGAGCGGCTCCCAGGATGGAGCCCCCGGAACCCCCGGAGCCCCCGGAACCCCTCGGCCTCGTTCCTTGCTCGTGGTTGTTTTGGGGGCTGCAAAAACGTCCCACACACCCCTGGGATGGGGCACCCCCAGAATGTGACACCCCTGGGATGTGACACCCCTCGAATGTGACACCCCTGGGATGTGACACCCCTCAAATGTGGCACCCTTGGGATGTGGCACCCCCAGAATGTGGCACCCCCAGAATGTGACACCCTTGGAATGGGAGACCCCCAAAATGTGGCAGGGGGTGGCACGGACATCCCCAGAATGTGACCCCCCTGGGATTTGACACCCCTGGGATTTGACACCCCCAGGATGTGGCACCCCCAGAATATGACATCCCCAGAATGTGACCCCCCTGGGATTTGACACCCCTGGGATTTGACACCCCCAGGATGTGGCAGCAGGACACGGAACACAGCTGGGTTTGGTGCTCAGAGGAAGAGATTTTATTTCAATGCCACCAAGCAGAAGCAGGTGACAAAGGTTTGGTTACGGGCAGGGGCTGAGGCTCCAGGCAGAGTCCCGTGGCTCAGCCAGCGTGGGAGAGGTTTCAGTGATGGTGCCCGTGCCCGTGCCCGTGCCCGTGCCCATGCCCGTGGTCATGGTCGTGGCCGTGGTCGTGGCCAGCACCAGGGCCCTCGTGGGACCTGTTGTGGGCATCGATGGCCACGAGGCTCAGCGTGGTCAGGAACTCGGTGAACTTGAGGCGGCCGTCGTGGTTGGCGTCGGCTTTGGCGAAGAGCTGGCTGATGTAGGTGTCGGTGCTCGTGTTGGGCTGCGGCGGGACAAGCGGGGAGCAGAGTCAGCTCGGGCTGAACCCCAAAAAAACCCTTTTGGGGAAGCTCCCGAGCGCCTCCATCCCCAGGGATCCCGCAGCGCTCGGCTCCTCCATCCCTGGAAGCGTCCAGGGTGAGATCTGACCCTGGCGGGAGCTGTCCCTGCCCAACAGCCCCAGAACGAGGGGATCTCCCAGGCCCTTCCCCACCAGCCCATCCCGGGGCTCCGGGACCTCACCGGCGCCGTGTTCCGGAGGAAAGGCTCGGCCGTCTCCTTGAGCAGCTTGGAGAACTCGTTCTTGCTCAGGTAGTCGTCGATGGGGCGCCGCGCCGCGTACCGGTGGTAGACGTTGATGGCGCATTCCAGCGCCAGCTCCAGGTCGGTTTTCATCCTGCTGGGAAGGGACAAAGGGCACAAACCTTGGATGGAACCCCGGGATGGCCGTCCGCTCATCCCAGGGGCGCCGGCTGGAAGGAGCTGCTCACCTTGGAGGAGTTCTGGGCTCTGCAGGAGCAGCGGGGATGGATGGAGCGATGCTCAGCTGGGGACGACACCTTTTATACCCTCCCGGGGCTCCCAGCCTCCGCTTCCCTTCGGGGCAATAACCCCGGGAATTGTGCAAGGCAGCGCAGCACGCCCAGGTGAGGATTTCGGGTTTCTCACCCGGCTCCAGGAACTCTTCTCCAGGGAGGGGAAGCCCCAAACCTGTCAGGCAAAACAAGGAAATGCCAAAAATGGCATTGGTGACAGGGCAGCCCCGGGGGTCAGCGATGGCACAGGGGCTTTTCTGGAACATTCCCCCAGCGTTTGAGGGAGATGTTGGCAGAGGAACTTTTCTGGCTGGGGGTCTCCAGAGGGATGACGCTGGTTTCGATCAGTTGTGGGTGATGTTTTTGGTGAATTTGGCTGCTGGATGTGGCCAGCACATCCCACCCCTCCATGGGGACATTCCCCCTGATCCCAGGGACTCCAATCCGGGCGCTCTGGCGTGTCAGAACTCTGCCAGCCGGTCCTGGGAGGTGGCACTTCCCAGCAGCTGGAATTGTTGCCTGATGACAACCCAGGGCATTGGCAAATGCTGCCCGTCCCCAGCTGTCCCCCCAGTCCCGGGGGGATCCCAGTGCCCCACACGGAGCCCTCCCAGTATTCCCAGTGCCCAGAAGGAGCTGCAAAACCTCGGTTTGTCTGGAGGGGGCTGGGGAGGAGCCCCAGGATTCAGATTTTTGGCCATTAAGGTTTTTGGGAAGTGGGAATGGCAGCGGTGGTGAAACATCTCCCGACCAGCCTGGGAACCCCGGAGCGCGAGGAGCCGCTGCCAGGAAAACACGGAATTGCAAAAGAGGGAGACAAAGGGGTTTGGGATGGGGACGGGCAGGTCCTTGCCAGGAAAGGGACACACAGAGGGACACGGGTGACCCGACAGGGACACGGGTTGAGACAAGCCTGGGGATGTGTGAGGGCGTGGCTGGGCCACGTGGGGAGGGGACAGGGACACCTGTGAGCCATGGGGACAGAGAGGGGTCACGGACACCTGTGAGCCGTGGGGACAGAGAGGGGACAGGGACACCTGTGAGCCGTGGGGACAGAGAGGGGACACGGACACCTGTGAGCCATGGGCACAGAGAGGGGACACGGACACCTGTGAGCCATGGGGACAGAGAGGGGTCACGGACACCTGTGAG